TCGCTGCCCCAGGCGGGGTCTCGAACCCGCGGGCTCAGGCAATCCACTCACCTCAGCCTCCCAAAGGCGCGGGATTACAGGCTGAGCCACCGAGCCCGGCTATAATTTAACATTGTATGAATACTAAGTCTTTATTTATGAGCATCAAACATACTAATGTCAAAGACTTTATCAAAATTTTCTACGAAATTAATATTATCTAAAACCATGTTCCTGTTGACTGTGTTTCTTGGTATTTGTTTTATCCATATACTTTGGAATGTTGTCCTTAAGCTCATTTTGAATGAAATACTTTGTTTCTGGTTCATTATTCCCTTTCTTTCTTCATTTATCTTTACTTCTCACAGTCTAGAAATTTTTCAGTTAACTCTCTCCCTGCTGCCACCTGAAATTCAATGCAGAAACAGGATGTTCCATTGTTCCTAGAGGTGATAGTGACAAAAGCACAGATCCCCATCAGCAATTCAGTTAGCAGCTCAGGGGAGTTCCTGGTCAGGAGGTGATGTCTATGTTTTCTCCTGTCTTAAGCTCTGACCCAGGATTTTGGCCCTGGTCTCATATGAAACACTTTTAGGTCCTATTATGGTAGAAAAGGTGAACTCACAGTCACCTTTGTCTACCTTGTCCCAGAGCAGAGTAGGTGGGTGGCTTGAATCTGACCACCATCGGTGCGTATATTTTCTTTTTGTTCCAAAAAGATTTTATCCTTTTTTTTTGAGTTGGAATCTCACTCTCTCCCAGGCTGGAGTGCAGTGGCACTCAAGGCCACCACAGCCTCGACCTGCTGAGCACAGGTGATCCTTCTGCCTCAGCCTTCCAAGTAGCTGGAACTACAGGCATATGCCATCATGCCCGGCTAATTTTTTGATTTATTGTAGCGATGAGGTCTCGACAAGCTGCCCAGGCTGGTCTTGAACCCGTGGGCTCAGTCAATATTCTTGCCTCGGCCTCCCAAAGTGCTGGGATTACAGGCATGAGCCTCCTCACCCGGCCTTCAACTTGTTTTGAAGCCCACTTACCTTTTTTGGCTTTGTTCTCTCCGTTTGTATTTATTCTACCATTTCAGTGTGCTTACAGTGAGGGGTTATGTCAGAACCTGAATTTACCTGATTGTTTTAATGTATATGTGTTACTGATGGATAATCAGATTCTTTTTTTTTTGAGTTGGCATCTCACTCCGTCACCCAGGCTGGAGTGCAGTGGCACGCTCCCAGCCACCACAACCTCGACCTGCTTACAGACTCACACCACCACGCCTGGCTAGTTTTTGTGATTTATTGTAGAGACGAGGTCTCACCATGTTGCCCAGGCTGGTCTCAAACCCGTGGGCTCAAGTAATCCTCTTGCCTCGGCCTCCCAAAGTGCTGGAAATATAGGCTTGAGCCACTGCACCCAGCCTAATCAGATTCTTAGAAGAGGATTATGCCCTAAATTATCACCCAGCCTCATTCTGCTCATCTGAATGTCTGTGTGAGGGGTGTGTGTTTAAGGTTTTTTGGTGAAAGAGAATGTTTAAGACTTTTGGATGAAGCAAGCAAAAGCCAACCTGTTATTGCCTGCTTCTAATCTCATTTCCTTTTCCTCCAAAATGATTCAACTTGAGAGAGTAGATTGACTACAAAGAAATACTAAGGTCTAGGAAGATAAGATGAGAGATCAGCTCTTTCCTCACACTGGGAGAATACCATCAGCCACCCTTACTGTCTAGCCACTGAGCTGAACTTCTTGAGCTGTATCTTGATGACACTGTACCTCAAAATAATTTCTTGCAGGTACAGTGGCTCACATCTTATTCTCAGTACTTTGGGAGGCAGAGGCGAGAGGATTGCTTGAGCTCAGGGGTTCGACACCAGCCTGGGCAACATAGCGAGACCTTGTCTCTACCATAAATCAAAAAGTTAGCCGGGTTCGGTGGCTCAGCCTGCGGGTTCAAGACCCACCTGGCCAACGTGGTGAGACCTCATCTCTACAATAAATAAAAAAATTAGCCGGGCATGGTAGCGCGTGCCTGTAGTTCCAGCTACCCAAGTGCAGTGAATATCACCATCTCCATGTTGAAGATGGCTTCCATTATCACCTATGTCTTGGTGCCCTCAGAGCTACTTCTCTCTTCCAGGTGGGTTTCCTGAGCTCCAGCCCCGTCCTCTGGTTGCTGACTGAATCTAATTGGATGCACAATGAACACATCACTCTGTTTCCAAACCACTTTTT